ACCAGGATTATGGCTGTGAAAGAAGCTGGACAAAAAGGGACACAAATTGTACGATTCCCGCCATATGAAATATCCAGAGTAGGCAAATACATAGAGATGGACAGTAGGTTAGAAGTTACCAGAGGCCGGGGGAGGGGAGGAATGGGGAGATACGGCTGCACGAGGACAGAGTTATCGTTTGGGGTGATGAATAAGTTTTGGAAATAGAGAGTGGTATGGTTGTACCACATTGGTGGTATAATCTCACTGAACTGTACACTTAAAAATGGTTAAAATGGCAAGTTTTATGTTGTGTATGTTTTATCACAACTGAAAAAGAAAAAGAAAAAAAAGATCACGGCTATTGTCATTCCCCACTCTCCCAGCCTCTCCAGGCCATTTGTAGGATGGGGACAAAGACTTTAACAAGCACTGAAAAAAATCATTGAGGGGAAAGTGTAAACAGGCAGAGACAAATACATGATGTAGGACCATCAAATTAGAAGTGACACTTCTCTATTATTAACCCACAATTTCTCAGCAAAGTAAAATCTGTGAGCTGATACTGGAAAAATGCCACTTCTATAAGCTATTTAATTTTTCTGGATAGGGTGTAAAATAACTGTTAAAACCATAAAAGATACCATATGGCATCAAAGAAAGGGAAAAAAAGAATTCTTTTTTTTGTTGTTATTCAATGAACAATTAGTTCTCTATTCTCCTTTAAAAAAAAATTAAGGTGTCTTTGAGGGAAAAAATTCAGAAGTGTCAGGAAGACATATCCAAAATGGAAAGAAAGTTGAAAAGATAAATAAAATGAGCATTCCTTTAGCTATATTTGGTGGAGTCCTGCAGAGAAAAAAATTCCAGCTAGGCAGCATTGAGACATAGTTTATTAATTCAGTTTCCCCCACAGCAGGACACAGAAAGAGAAATTGGTAAAACAGTCACATTAAAAAATTATGACTCCTACATCTGATCTTTATGGATCCACAGAAAAGAAACTGTCCTCTCGAGGAGTCCTTGGGCCATGTTGAGGCAGGGATGCAAAGAATGTTTTTCCTTCCTAAAGCTCCATGACAACATTATTTGCTCACACATGGTAGGAACAGACTGAAAGATACGTCCTACCCAAATGTAGGGGATTTTAAAGGTGTTTATAAAAAGAGTTTAGGTGAGATTTTGAGCAGTTCTTCCAATTACATTTTGAAATATATTTTAGTCTTTTGTTGTTAAAGGGTATACAAAATTGAAATCTGTTTGTATTCTCTTTGGGGGGTAAATTACAGTAGGTAATGAACTGGTTAGTAGTGGAATATCCCCAGAATTTTAGAGCTGGGGAGGAGTTTAACAATCATCTCATCCAGTGTTTTGCACAGTGTAGACTATGCCACACTGATGAGTTATTAAGTTAATTTAGAGGCTTACAACTAGCGTCAGGAAGTAGAGAAAGAGGAGGAATAGAATAAAACTGAATTGAGTATGAAAGTGTTTTGCACATACTGTTCTGTGAAACTTTTGTTTCAGTTGTATGAGAGTGTATGTGTGTGCCTGTATGCATGTTGCATCACAATGTAAAGTGTGTGTCTTACTGTGAGCCCTGGTGAAAAAAAAATTGGAAAGTTACCAGTCTAGTCAAACACCTCCTGTTCCAGGTAAGATACCTGGAACCAGAGAGGGGGAAATGACTTTCCCAAGTCACAAGACTCAGAAGTAGCCCGAGTCTCTTGACTCCCAATATTCTTTCCATTTGATGCTAATAATCACGTCTGCTTGGAGGTGAGTGTCAACTCTTGCCCTGTGGTTTCCATACCAACTTGGCAGCTGACATTCTATTTCTTTCTGGAGCAAGTCCTGTGCTTCTGGACGAACCGGACGCCCCTCTCCTTTAATGCTCCTGCCAACCTCACTCTACATGGCATCAGTGCTTCTGTGGGATGCGGCAGGTGTGTGGAGGGACAAATAATCGGTGCCCAGGCCTGGATGACCCACGACAATTGGGTAGCTCAGAAGGTGCACAGTTCCACAGCTTACTGCTCCATGCAGCTGAGGAGCCACATGAGAAATAGAATCACAGCCTCCCTGTGAAAAAGAGGGGGTGCATGTGACGACTCACACAGAGGACATTCTCAGAAAGGAGACAACCAGCTGACAACTGTGGGCTTTAGGTAATTCCTGCCAGACTCATGCACTCTGGCTGGTCTTTCTGAGCCAAAATAGAAGCATGTAGAAAGTGTTCTATGTCTTCAGAGATACAGCAGGCTTATGAAAGAGGATTCTGCCTGGAACTCAAAGTGCCTCTGGTTTTGACTTAGAGGAGAAAATGATCTACCCCACCAGTAAACACTTACATTGCATTTACTCTGTGCCAGGCACTGTTCTGAGAATATTACAAATGTTTACTCATTTAATCTACATAACTGACCTCTAGGACTTAAGAGGATGCTCCTAGCTGTAGTCAGAAGGCAGAAGGTGGAGAAGTGTTGAGAAGTGTTAAAATAATTTGTTTTTCTTCTGATTTGAAGACAGGAGGGCCAGTACTCTTAAAAGAGTTTACAACTATGCCATTGACAAAGTGAATTAATCAACAGTCAAATCCAAGGACTAAAAGTCAACTGCCTACTTTCTCTTGGCAGAAGGAATTGGGAGGAAGATGGTTCTTCTTGTAAAGATTCATCACTTTTTGATGCTTTTCAGAAGTGGTGATGGATTTGCAATGAGCCATCTATTTTTTTTTTAATCACTCTTATATAGTTGTAGTATAGCTGCCTTTGGTACAAGGGGTCTGCTTAGGTCCTGAAACCACCCCCTCAAGCCCACATAGAGATCAAACCTGTGCCCTTGGCCATATGATACAGTGCTCTGCATAGAATCTATATGCTAGAAGAGGGTTTTTATTCATTTAAAAATTAGTTTATTACCAATTTCAACTGAACCTGATACTGGAAACTTCTCGATTTGACTTTGATGATGAAAATTAGTACAAATTTACTGATGTGTAAGAAAGGCAAGAGTTTTTTTTTAAAGACCAATAGGAAGTGAGTTTTTTAAAAAGTATCTATATATGTCCTTATGTTTTATATGTTAACTTAAATTCCACAATACTCTGATTGAATCTCCATTTCCTAGAATAGGGAACTAAGCTAAATGATTTGTTGAAAGTAAATAGGGGAGGGACAGAATTCAGAATAGAGTCTGCCTGCAGAACCCATTACTCTTTCCACATCATGCTGCAGCCTGAAAGTTCTTTTTTTTTTTTTTTCTTCATCTGAAAAGCGATTTGGCCTTAGCAGCATTCACTGACCATGGCAAAACATTAATTGATCTTTCCATGGCACAGCCTCCCGGTTATCCACAGGAATAGCAACAGTTAAACCATCTTCTTTACAATTAAGTCTTGGTTTCCTTAACAACTCCATCATGTAATTAAACTTATTTCTCAAACGGGCAGATAAGATTCACTAAAGAATCGGAGAAGAGCTATTTAAATTGTGCTTAGTTTCTTGCACTGGGTTAACCACGGTCAAGTCTGGGCTTGGAACTGAAATTTAGGAGGAATGTGGAGAATGCTGCTCGCCCAGAACTTACCAGTGCTGAAGTTATATGGGAGTCCGGGTGTGTTTCCTGTGCATCTGTGACACTTCTAACTTAGCCCTGCTCATCCATCTCCACGAATAAGTCGGATAAACATGCAGATTGCCGACTATTTATCGTTTTCTTGGACCAGCCTCTGTTAACTTGGGTGGCAAATCTCATATAGTTATTAATCATCAGACATGAAAATTGCTTCTTTTTGAAAGGTGTATCTATCAGAGGTTTCACAAAAAGAATGTCTTGAAAAAGATATATTTGCCAATATCATTAGAGTCTGTGGTTGTATTATGAAGATACTTGGCTTACACCACAAAGTTTATGGACCCTATTTTTTTTTTTCTGTTGAGTTGGCTGAACATACGGATGGTGTTAACTAGTTAAATTATACGCTGTGTTTTAATGCTCAGCGAGAAGGGAAACCCATGGAGATTTAATACCATCATGAGTCTGTAAAACCCTAGGTTTACAAATGCAAGTCAAATAAAAATCTATTAAAGTAGTCAAACGTTGCTTTGAATTAAAGGTCATTAAATAAAAAGAAGATAACAGATCACTTAAACCCACATATCAAATAAAATGCCAAGATAAAACACCAATGGGTCATTAAAAAAAAAGGACACAAACCAAGTCTGCCTTCTCTCCCTTATGAGTTAAAAAGGAGTTAAGAAAATCCAAAAGTATTTTCTAAGTTTGAAGTCCCCAGGATGTAAGAGTCCAAATGCCATATACAAAGTACTACACACTTTCCTGGTCTCACAATGGTTGCTCTGAGGGGACCACGGAATTAGTACTTACGGGGCGAGGGCGGGGGCGGGAGCAAACAGTACAATCCCTTAAGAGAACTGGATGAAGCCAGATGTTGCAGATTATGATCTCGTGGGTGCCATGGAATTTATGCTGGGAGATTAAAGAGAAGAATTAATTTATGACTTTCTCTACCTGTTTGCAATATGTGCTGAGCTTATTATGTGTACATGTTGTGATGCATGGTAATTACAATGCTGAAAATCATGTGCAACACATGACCACTGTAGTTAGGTTTAAAGGGGGGAGCATTTGTCATATTTTAGTCTGCACATCTGGTTCTACGTTATTTGCCAAATGATTAATATAGGCCTATATTACAGTGAAATCCTTTTATATCAAGGTTTTATTTGCCAGGAAATGGAATACTTTCCTTCCATGTCTCTTTCCACCTTCCCCCACATTCCATGATGAACTTTGAAATTTCCAGCACTAGGGTTCCTTTGAGGGAGCAGGGAAGGGAATCTGCTCTTGCTTTGTTCAATTCTCTAAGTTCCGTGGTCACAACTGAGATATACATGCACCCTTTGTTTTAAAAGCACATCCACAAGGGAGAAATTCTAGCACTTATTCTAAAACTAGGCAGGGTATCTGGTACCTTAAACAGGTAAAACCACAGGAACTAAATTCTAAATTTTCAACTCCCTTTTATTGAAATATAAGTTTGTTTAGTATATTTATACCACACTTTATGCACATATATACATAGAAGGCAAATTCTGTCAAATAAAAAATTTTTCTTAATAAAAAATTAAAATAAAAACAAAGTAAAGTGCATGAAATTGATTTTCCCCCCTTCTGGTGAACATCATCACTATCAAAATTTTGGACGCTTGGGAAGGGGGAGGAAGAAGAAATTCATTATTTGAGTCAGTGCATACAGCCGGTCCAGCATTTGTAGCCTTCAGGCCAAAATGACAAGCTGTAAGGAACAAGTCAGACAAATTGTCAGGGTCTGCAGGACTCCCCCCATCCTGTAGGTTCCGCTCCCTTTGTCCTATCGGGAGCGGTTCCTCAGCTCTTAACAGTGATCTCACCATCACAGAGCCGGAACAAAGGGAGAACACAGGAAGGGGGCTCCACCAGCCAATGTCATAGCCCTGCTCAGGGGACCACCAGCGCTGCGTTTGGTAGAAAATTGTAGAATTAGCCCAAAGGCTCAAATAGAAGTTTTCCTTTTTCGGAAAGGGAAGGAGGGGGCCATGGAATGGGATGTATCTCCCACAGAGACGGCCACCGGGGGGCCAAACTCCAGCAGCAGCCAGTTTCTTTGGATGCAAACTCCGTGCTGGCACAGGGAAGAATCCTTTCATAGGCTGGGTGGAGGGAATGTTACACTTCTCGCCTGGGTGAGCGCGTCCTCTCAGAACTTTGAAAGCAAACAGCTTGGGACTGAGAGAAAGAGGCAGGTGGGTGAAGTAGAAGTTTTTAGCTGCCTTCACTCTCGAGTCTCCAGCTGGGCGTTGGCCGGCTGGTCCCAGGCGGTGGTAGAGTCAACGGCCCTTCCCCCATCATTCATTCCCCAGCCAGAGGTCTCTCTCTCTCTCTTTATTCCTCCGGGGGATGCTAAGTCCCTGGTCAGCGGCCGTACTTAGCCTTACAGTGCAAAATGTGCTTGGCGAGGAAGTCCAGGCGGCGCTGTAGCAGCTGAGCGTGGGGCTCGGCGAGAGCAGCCAGCTCCGGGAAGCGAGGCTCGTGGTGCTGGTAGAGGCGCAGCAGCCGGGCGGCCGCGTCCTGGCCGCGGTGCAGCTCCAGGACGCGCCGCGCTGTCCGCTCGCGGAACACGCATACTGACTGCAGCAGCGGCTCGTTATACTTGTCCCACATGCCCGCCACCCGGTAGCCGTGCACCAAGCCCGCCTCGTTGTCCAGAAAAACCAGCGCCCCGCCGGGGCCGCGGTGCAGGTTGCTTGTGGCGCGCTGCATGACCCGCGGGTCCCACTGCAGGCTGAAGAGGTTGCTGACTAGCCGGTCGAAGTTGGCCGTCAGATAGTCGAAGAGGATCAAGTCTGTCCATTGCACCAGGTCCACCAGCTCCGCCTGGCTGCGGTTGGCCAGCTCGCCCCCGGCGGCGCGCAGGGGCCGTAGATGGCCGTCCTCGGAGCGCCAGGGCGAGGGCACCACCACGTCCGTGAGGTTGGGCAGCCAGCGAGTTAGGCTTACCACGCTACCCTCTGTCCAGTGCGCGGCACGAAGCTCCTCCTGCACCTGAGCCCACTGCGCGCCCCGAGCCTCCACCCGGGCTAGTGCCAGGGGCGGCACGTGGCGCTGGAGGCCCAGCAGGCGCGCCAGGTAGTAGGACAGGGCCTCGCCCTGTATCTGCTCAGGGTTGATGCCGTAGCGCACGCAGGCGCGGGTGCCGTCGGCGAAGCGGGCCAGGCGGTTGGAGCTGCGCCCGCAGCCCCCGCGCTCCAGGGCCACCACACGGGCGCCGCGCGCCGCCTCCAGCCACGCCGCCGCCTGGGCCTCGGAGAAGCCCCGGGGCACCTGCTCCTCCAGGCCGCGGCTCCAGAAGACGCCCCCATGCACCGCGGCGCGTTTCTCCCGTTGGGGCCGTCCGGTTGGCACGTGCCGCATGCGCTCACCCAGAGGCTGCCCGGGCGGGCCGTCTGCACCCGCCGCTAAGGTGAGCAGCGCCCGGAAAGTTTTCAGGGAGCCGCCGCGGGCGTCCCGCGCCAGGGGCGGGAGCAGAGGAAAGCGGGGCGCGGGCTCCT